GGTTTGGAAGACCGACTGACACAAAATAATGTATGTTTGCTATTACTGCTAGGATTGTAAAGGAGAGTAAGTTCCAGCCTTCCATCTGGCCCTTCCTAACAGAAAAATTCTCACCCCACAGGTCAGGAGGCCAGTTGGGGTGTTTTGCCAGTTGCTGGTTACCTCTGTTACAACTGAAAACCCGGGAACTTGAGGGGTGCCTGCGTGGCTCGGCCAGTTAAGCGTCCAACTTCGGCTGGGGTCATGATCTTGCGGTGCGTGAGTTTGAGCCCTGAGTTGGGCTTGCTGCTGTCAGGGGGGAGCATCCTTTGGATGCTCTGTCCCCCTCTCTTCGCCCCTCCCCCACTCATGCTCTCTTTCTCTCAAAAACAAATAAACATTAAAAAAAAAAGAAAACCCAAGAACTTGGGAAATTACTACAGAGTGAATTTGTATGCCCCCTAGGCCCACTATGAGTTGGATTTAAGCCAAAACTCCATTTATCACTTGCCCTCCTTTAGCCCTTGCTCTGTGGGCAATAGTGTTGCTCTGAGTCCCCTGGATTAGTGCTAGCTCAGAGCCATAGTCCAATAATCCCTGGACAGTATGGATTTTTATTTCTCCACTGAACAGTTACCTTGGGAAATCACTGCAGGTCCTTTGGGGGATAGTTAGGAAGATTTACAGTACATAATTATGATGTTACCATAGCAGCCTTCCTTGTGGTACCTGGCCTCCACTTCATCCTAGGGACTCTGGGGATATGACCTGCGGGGTTGGTGACCCAACTTTCTGTTTGCCAGAATCCTTTTCATTAAATGGGCCATGCTTCTGTTTCAGTCCTAGGGCTCCCATGATCTAGTAACCACCACCAAAGATCACTGTTGACCAAACCATTTTGATTGACGCTCTGCCTTGTAGCTCTCTTCCCGAGCATGGCTATCAGTTAGCTTTTGCTATGAAAACAACGCCTCACAGTTTAGAGGCTTAAAACAACCATTCATTTACTTAACAAGTTGTTGGTGATTGACAGCTTGGGCTGGGCTACTCTGCTCGTGTTGGCTGGACTGTCACGTGTCTGTGGTCAGTTGCTGCCGGTGGTCTTGGTGACACGACCCCTAGGGGTTGGTTGGCCATCAGTTGGGGCTACAGGGATGATTGGGGCATAAGGCTCATCTGCTTTGATCACGTGGCGCCGGGGTTCCAAGACTAGCAAGAGTACATGCCCCAGCGGGTAAACACCTTCCTCGCTTTTGCTTGCACTGTCTTTGCCAAGGTCCTATGGACCAAAACAAGTCATATAGCGGATTCAAGAAAAAAAGACACAGGCTACCTCTTGATGTAAGGATCTGCAAGGTCAATGCAAAGTTAGGGGATTCAGGGAGGGGAAACATTTGTCTCTATTTTTACTCTCTGCCACAGTCACCAATTCCACCCCCCCCCACCCCCCCCCCCCCCCCACCCGAGCCCTTGCCCCCTTAAACACATCACTCAATTTCTTTTTTTGTACGTTTATTTATTTATTTTGGGAGAGAGAGAGAGAGAGAGAGAGAGAGCAAGCAGGAGACGGACAGAGAGGGAGAGAGAGAATCCCAAGCAGGCTCCGTGCCTACACGGAGCTCAATCCCATGAACCATGAGATCATGACCTGAGCTGAAATGAAGAGTCGCTTGCTTAACTGACGGAGCCACCCAAGTGGCCCCACTCATTTTCTTTAGAGAAACACTGTCCATTTTCATCCAGAAGATAAACTCCTCCACTAGGTGGGGGGCAGTGGAGGGGAGGTGGTGGAAATGCCCTTATTCAGCATAAACAGCTCCCTTAATGCCATCGTCCCACTTCAACCCTCCATACCTGGCAAAGTGAGGGTGCTTCTTCCATGAAACCGACTTCTGCTCCTGCCCCACCCAGGCTTTGCCTGAGATTCGCTGGGCTGTGGTGCCCTCCACCAGGACTGAGTCTTCAGATTGAGCCAATCCGCATTCATCTGGGGAATTTCTCAAACTCTTGGTCCTTTATCCTCACCCCTTTCATTAATTTTATGAATCAGTTTACTTTGCACTTCTTTCTAATGGTTTCTATTTGATTTGGAGGGGTAAACACCTGCGTTCAATTCAGTGCCTTCTGCTACAAAAGCCTCTGATTACATTTAAATCTATTACCTCTAGACCAATATAACACTTAATGTGTTCTTTCCATATACGTTAAGAGTGGGTGATTCAGAGAGAAGAATTAAGGCACATGCCCTCTATTGTGGATAAGAAGAACCAGGAGACTTGTATAATTTCCTAAAGACAATAATTTTGGCCCATTGCTACTATTTCATATTTAGTGTGTGGTGTGAGGGAGGAGGCATTTTGCTTAATGCATCACCTGAGGCTATTTTGTCTACTCTGGTTTTTCATAGGGCTATGGTTGCGATTTTATCATGATCAGTCTGCTTGTGCTGTCCTGCCTGCCTTAGGAAAAAATGTAATATAAAAATAAACAAAGGGGTCACGACCTGGGCAGCCTGTGGGGCAGGGAGACAAGGGAAAGGGAGGAGAAGCCTGCCTAACTATCCCCTTCTTCACTGTCACCCCTGCCCCTGAGGTCTCCGGGATCCATTAGCCTGAGTGTTCATTGGTACAACCTTTTTACTGGGGAGTGGGAAATACTGAATAAAATTAAGCCTGCAAAACTCTGACACGGTAATTCCTTTTATGCAAACATGCAAGGATATATGCACATATAATGTTTAACCTTGCTAGTAATCACAATATGCAAATGAAAACAGTGAGATATCTTTTTACCTATCAGGATATCAATGATTTGAAAGAAAGTGAATGCCCATTATTAGGAAAGTTGAAAGTTTTCATAGGTACATTAGTACAAGCTGTGTGGAAGGCAGTTCTAACAACATGTATCAAAATCCATAAACAGATGAAAACCTTTATTTATTTATTATTTTATTTTTTTTTCATTTACATCCAAGTTAGTTAGCACATAGTGCAACAATGATTTCAGGAGTAGATTCCTTAATGCCCCTTATCCATTTAGCCCATCCCCCCTCCCACAATCCCTCCAGTAACCCTCTGTTTGTTCTCCATATTTAAGAGTCTCTTATTGAAAACCTTTTTGTAAAGATTTTATTTTTAAGTAATCTCTATACCCAACATGGGTCTCAAACTCACAGCCCCGAGACCAAGAGTGGCATGGTCTACCGAGTCAGCCAGGCACCCCAGATGAAAACCTTTTGATCCAAGAATTCCACCTCTAGGAATGTAATCCAGGGAAATATCAGAGAAGCATACAAAAATGTGCACGCAAAAATATTAATCTCAACATTGTTTATGCTAGTGAAAAATTTGAAACCATCCAAATATCGATCAGTTAATTATTGGCCATCCATAAGGAATAATACACAGTTGCCATAAGGTATCAACATGGAAAGATATGTAAGATACATCGTTACGTTTAAAAACAATTGTCAGGGCAGTATGTTTATGATTCCATTTCTTGTTTTGTGATTTGTGTGTGATATATGTATATATGCCTCGCTATTAATATATGTAAATAATTGATAAAACATATACCAATCTGTTAATAGTCTTTCTGGGGGTTGTGATCTGAAGAATTGTACTTTTCTCATAATACATATTTACAATGTTTTAATGTTTTACAAGCAGTGAGTAAAATAATACTGAAAGATTAAGAAGTTTAGAAAATTTGCTCAGCTTCACTGATAATTAAATGAATGCAAATTAGAGGAGCAATGAGACATAATTATTGCCTTTCATATTGACAGAAAAAATTCCAATTCAATGTTTCGTAGAGCCCGGGTCTCTAAATTTTTTTTTTCAACGTTTTTATTTATTTTTGGGACAGAGAGAGACAGAGCGTGAACGGGGGAGGGGCAGAGAGAGAGGGAGACACAGAATCAGAAACAGGCTCCGGGCTCTGAGCCATCAGCCCGGAGCCTGACGCGGGGCTTGAACTCCCGGACCGCGAGATCGTGACCTGGCTGAAGTCGGACGCTTAACCGACTGCGCCACCCAGGCGCCCCGAGCCCGGGTCTCTAAACTTCTTTGATCAAGCACATATATTAAAAAGTAAAACTTTTTGACCTTGAGCACTCTCTCTCTCTCTCTCTATATATATATATGTTTATATGATTTTTTTTTATAAATAAAGATGGGCTTATAGTCCTCATTCTCTTCTGCCACTTGAAAATTCATGCATACAATGATGCATACCGCATAAGAAAAACTGGAAACATTCAGAATGTTCATTCAATAGGGGACTGGTTAAATAAATTATTGAACATTATTAGTCAGCATATATATTGGGGTAGTGATCAGTCGTCCAAGAGAGTGAGGTACTTATATATTATTGACATGGTAAGAGCACTATACGAACATATCAGGTTTGAAAGTATATACAGAAAACCCAACCGGAGTTCATGGAGGGGGCAGGGTGAGGAATGTGCAACTTAGCAGGGACTCTGATTTCCATTGTTCTAACTGTGCTGTTGAAAACCTCTAGCAACTTGTTTGTATAACTTTTCCCATTAGAAGAATAGTAAAGATCTAAAACAAAATTTTCCAAAGTCGCTTGAATCATTAAAACAGAATGTACACATTCTACAGTGGAGGAAATGGGTAGGTTTTGTGTGTTCGTACTCGCTCCCAGTTGAGGATTGAAAAAATTCCTAAAGGGATGTGAGGCAACAGAAAACGGGTTCACGCTTCTAAGCTATTCAAGATCACGTTTATGAAGGAAATTTTCTAACGTTTTGAGCAAGTTTTGTTTTGCTTCCGTTGAAATTTAAAACACTTTAAAAAAAAAAAAAAAGGACCCACCGGGAGGTGGAAGCCTGGTCTCCCGGGAAAGCCGCGTGCCCCGCCCC